GGTTTCCTGATATAAAAAACTGGCATAATTTTTACACTTATCAAGTGTTTTGAGATCCTTTGTTGATAGAGGGTGTATAATGGCAAAGTATTATTGTTAAGATTTTATCTGATCTGTGCTGATAAAGGTAACCTTTTTCATGCCGTTGTCATGATACTAGTCTCAAATTGTTTTTCTTCATTTGTTTTCCTATTAGTGAGGTGTCTCTTTCTAAGGCAGTGTTCATGAATACAAGATATAAAAGGTATCCTTTAATGCTCTTTTTGGTGTGTGTGTATTAAAAAAATTAACATGAAGCATGAATTGTCATAGGAATGAGGCTACCTCTGGAGGTGCTCAGCCAGAAATCCATCCAACTAGTCCATTGTTGGACTGTTTTACTTTTCTGTATCCCATTTAGCCTGTGACACAGAAGAGTTAATGATACTTTTGAGGGACTGGGGGAAAGTATTATATAATTCACAGCTGTACACTGTCAAAGCTAGGTCCCTCAATGGGAAAACCCACTGGTCAAATGATTTCTCAGTGGATCCTTTAAATGGCACACCTGCTTTTGGGGTTGTTTTTTTGGTTCATTTTTAACTGTTATTGCTTCTTTCTGGATGAGTTGATTCAATTTGCTTTGTATTGTATCACACTGTTTTTAGAGACCTGTTTCCCACTATGTGTTGTCTCACACACCCAACAGGGAAAGAAAAAGGTTGTGGCCCAGATCCTCAGCTGCTGTGAATTAACATAGCTTCACTGAAATTACAGAATCAGGGTTGGAAGGAACTTCAAGGGTTTTCTAGTCCAAGCTCCTATACAGATGCAGTAGTCACTATTCTTAAATTAGCTAAGATAGATACTCATTACTTGACCAACATTGCTTTTCACTGGGTAAAGCGGCTGGCCCTATGCCCTTATCATTCTGATGAAGCAGTTGTGAATATGCACTGGCCGATGACATCGTGTTGGCACTGTAAGAGGAGAAAGAATCATAGGATGATAGAAAACAGAGCTGGCAGGGATCTCACAGATTCATCTTGTCCATCCCCCTGCTCAAGGCAGGGTCATCCATGACTAAACCATCCCAGCCAAGTGTCTGTCCAACCTGCCTTTGAAAACTTCCAGTGCTTGGCCACCCTCCTAATCTCCAACCTAAGTTTTCCCTGCTGCAGCTTGAGGACAATGTGCCTAGTTCTGTCCCTTACAGCCACAGAGAAAAGCTCATCTCCATCCTCTCTGTAATATCACTTTAGGTATTTCTGAAGACTGTTATCAAATCCCCCTCAGTCTTCTCTTTTCCAGACTA